AATCATACCAGTTGCTTCCGTTCGGGGTCACCGGGGTCATCTGGCTGGACAACCCCACCCTATTTATAGATCCAGGTCCCTATTGGACACCTACTGTATTGAATCATTGGATGGGCACCCATAGGAAGCGCTAGGTATTTAAGGCATGTGATCGCAAGTGCCATGTGGTCACATGGGTCTGTATGAAAATAGGAAGACCCCAAACGCACCCTGGAAGTGGGCCATGGGGTCTCTCAAATACACACCCACATGGCACATCTCATGGATGACACCTACTTGGGTGGAAACTTCGCTCAGTTCTCCAATCCCTGGTACAACCCTGCCATGTTCAACACGCATGTGTGCTTCTGGTGCTTCTGGGGCGATTGAAGGCAGTGAGGGCCACTCTTGAGAGATTGAAGACTGCGAGAGCGACGCGACCGAGGTCGGGTCTCAAGCTGGCCTTCCGGAATCTCTACCCTGCCCAGCCGCCCGAGACGGGCCCCGGGAATTCGGCCATCAGTCGGTTAACAGGAAGAAGAGGGACTGAGAGAACTCTCCCTGGAACTCACATGGAAGTGGAGTTCACCACCTGTTTGCTTCGTGGAGTTCAGGGTCTTCCGAACTCGGGGGGCCCAGGTGAACTCCACTTCCATGTGAGTTCCAGGGAGTGTATTGACACCTGTAGGCCTATACCCTAGGATTCAAACAACCATTGTTTTAATGGTCTTTACCAAAGAGCCCTTGTTTTACTAAGGATTTTTACACTACACCACCAGCTCAACCGTAAATGGTCTTTGAAGGCTAGGGTATAGGTAAGAGAGAGCCCAATCCGCCTCAGCAGGTCAAACGCTCCTGGCGTCGAAGTCGGGACCCTCCCGGAGGCGGAGGCCGCGGGGGTTCAGCATGGGGTGACCGAAGCGAACGAAGCGGCGACCCTGGAAGTCGAGGCAAGTGGTGTTGGTTCGGTGCCTTCCACCCTCTCCACCCTCCAGAGGTGGTTGAAGGACCCGCCCTTCGCCTATCCCAGGCCAGGGTACCCCAGGTGACAGGTCCTAGTTCAGGTCACTTAACCTACCTCTCTTGGCTGGTTGTGAGGTCTCTGAACCCGTCCGCCTGAGCGGGGCACGAACGATCCGATGGGAAAGCCTGGCCACCGAGGTGAAAGCCCGGCAGTGCATGTTCTACGGCCCCAAATCCGCGCGAGCCTGGCGAAGTGCGGAGCGCCCAGCCACAGGCGGAGGAGGTGTTTAGACCTGGATTCATCCAAGGTGAATGCACACCTGCTAGGCTGAGCTGGGAGCACTTTTATGCTTGGGGTTCACAAATCCATCCAACTGTGAATGATTTCTCATCGTTAGGCAGACATGTCGCATAGTTGGAAGATCCGTGGCCGCGAAGGAAGTGGATGGTTGGAACGGTCTTACCTTGGGCGCCCCTTGGCGTTGCACGCTCGTTTACACAAGACCCCTTCCACGGTGTTCGTGGGGGAATCTAGCGGTTGTGCACTGTGCACCATTACAAGTGAAGAAGAAACAAGAAGTACCATGCGCTACAAGTCCACTTTGACCCAGCAAAGTGCGCCTCAATTGACCTGCCTGAGTCGCGTGAATGTAGGCACCATCTCCAGCTGGAATGTGGTCCAACTGACTTGTAGGGACCATCTCCAGCATCGCCCTTCCAACACCTGTGGCTTCAACCCTCGTGGCCCTCGGCCTCCTCGTCGGCCTGGCTCGGTCGGATCGACGGCGCCGAGGCATCGAGATCCCGGGCGATTACTGCGAGTTTGAGCCAGGGAGACCCGGGCGCCGTGGTGCGAGCCCTGAGAGTGGTCTGAGTGACTCACACCGAACTAGAGTAGTGGATCATGACTCCCAGGTGTAAAATGAGTTAAACCTGAAGTTCTGGGGATTGGGTAGTGATATTATGAAACATGCACCATATAGAGAGGCCTCAAAGACCATCTTCAACCCACAGTCCCCACACATCATTCCCCTTAACCAAACACTTCCCCTGGCAAACCTCTCCCCCACTTGCACCCACCTGCAATCCTTTGCAACCTCCCACCGAACGCTGCCCCCGCACCTGCTTCCTTTTTGCCCACGGGCACCGCAGCGCGCCTTCAGGTTCAGCTCCGATGGGGACGGTGCCACCTTCCCCGATCAGCGCTGGGGCTTCTGGGCCTTGGTCGCTCCAAAACCCCCGGACAAGGAGGAGCGACCCGTGCGCCGGACGGACGCGCAGACGACCCGGGAGAAGAGCGGCGAAGCCGTCCATGACTGGTAGGAGGGAAGGAGGATTGGTCTTCGGCACGCCGCTTCGGAGGTGACTTGTATGAGCGAGGTGTGGCGGGTGTGAGTCGGGTGGAGTCGGGTAGAGTGGACCAGCAGAGGTGGGTCAGAACCCTAGTTCGACTATCCTATAGGTAGTCTAGTAGGGTCCTATTCACGGTCACTTAACCTTTGTTGGGAATCTGGGTGGCGGATGAGGTCGGGTGGCGGATGTGTTCAGGATAAGATCCCCGAGAGCTTCACGCTGGAGGTGGTGAAGAAGGAGGCGAGTGATGCACATCCAGGAGAGTCGAGGAGACCTGCTCAATTGGATCAGAAGATGACTTCTTTAAGAAGGGACAGACCTGCAGAGGTTAAGTGACCTTATAGGACCCTACAGGAGTACCTATAGGATAGTCATATAGGGTTCTTCATGTTCTTCAACCTCTGCTGGAAATCAGGAACCTAAAGGCAAGGAACCTCACAGAGCCAACCACAGCTGGCTTTGAGTTGCTTGGAGTCCGAAAAGGCAACAACTCTTCAAGTCAGATCGCTTGGGATGATTGTGATGGTATACAATACCCTCATATACCCTCAACTACTTAGGGTCTAGAATGGGCGTACCTTAGGGGGTATATAAGTAAATTCAGCGTCAGAGGATCAGATCGTTATATGGGGCCTCAAAGGGCGCATTGTGTGGGAAGTACGTGTTCCCCATATGATCCCATTCCTTCGTTGCCAAAGATGGTCGAACTGGAACTTTAGGGTAAGTGTTTCCCAATACATCCAATACCTCACCTGAACTTTGTGCAGTTTTGCGCTCAGGGCTCTCTCCTGGGCATCACCACTCAGGCATGTACTGCGTGGGATTTCTTTTGGCTTCAACACCAGGGCGTTCCTTCTACGAACACCTGAGGTTTTTGTATAGGAGCAAGATCTTCATTTATAGACCGATTTTTGAATTTGCGTGAGGGGGTAACCTTCTAACTGTTTCGCGCATCAGGGGGTTGGGACAATTGCTTATAAGTTTGGAACGGTGCCATTTCTTGATCCAACACCCGGATCTTGCTCAGACCCTCTCAGAACTAAAAACGCACACTGCTTCGACATGTTTGGTCTGCGCTTTTGGGGGTCATCACACACAGCTCAAAGCTGATGCCAGACTTGAAGACGGTTTCTCTGAATGAAAAAGCATCAGACTTTTTTCAAACACCATCTCGGGTCTTAAGACGATGGCCCCCACTGAGGCACCAAAGATTGCACAACGATGGCCCCCACTGAGGCCCGAAGGCACAGTTTTTTTAAAGGCACTCTAAGAAGGCCTATAGGAGTGGGGGCCTAGTAGGTGCGTATGTGTTTATGTGGCCAGTGTGGGCCTCGAATGAACTCCTTCCCTCGCCACGGGATGTCACAAAGTCATCCCAACTGACTTTTGTCGCCAGGAAGTGGCGGGTGCTTGCATGATCAGTGGATTGGATACTGGCCGCCTGGTGGGAGTTCGATGGCGGGGTACATTCCCACTCATGGTTACGTGGCTGGCATGGCCTCCTGGATGGCCATGTTCCTTTACAAAGTACAGCTGGTTTTCCACTTCCTCCCATGTGAGTGGGTCAGAGTGTAATACCCTAAATTCAACGAAGACAAACCAGTGGCTGCACTTGGATTCCTTCCACCGGCTGCTGGTCACTGCGTTTTTCTTCCAAATAAAAGTGGGTGTTCGGATGCGAGGCGGCGGTGAGTGGTTTGAATTGGGTGAGGTTCTGAAACATATCCTCCCCTGGGCAAGGATGGGTTTTCTTTGTTTTCCGGCTCTTCCCAATCCAGCAAGTCCCAGTCCTTTTTGTATGGATTCGGAGCCGGCGGCAGGGCGACTGAATATCATGAGCTTTTAGATCTTCAAGTGGCGGAGATTGGCCGAAAGATGCCTTCTTCGCTCTGGGAACATGGAGGTTTCGGAGCGTGTGGGAGGCGCGCTTCCTCCGAAAAGCGCCCACACGACATTCCAAGGTTCTACACCCATCCAGGCGGGCCGATGATGGGGGAGATGCACTGTCAAGCACTGTGAGGGTGTCTCAGGTGTTGAAGCTGAGGATGTGCTTTGGTCCCAAAGACCATTCTTTGGAAGTTCTTTCACCTCCAAGACCATCCTCAGAAGGTAGCTGGACCCAATAATATGTATTGAATATGTATATGTCCTCCAGGGTCTATCCAGGGTGACTATCCCTGATGCCCTCCATGATGTAGGCTAAAACGAGTCAATACGACTCATCTATATACTCTAAATTGGAAGGATTACAGTGGTTTCAGAGTAGATGGCAAAGACACCAAGATGTTCGTCAGATGTGGTTCCATGCAAACTTTCAAGCTTGGAGTAACTTATCCCATCGAACCTCTGAAACCACATGCATGAAATCAGTATTTGATCTCAGTCTCTCTGATCTCGCCATCATGCGATCACAGCCATAGCGTTTGTTGCGGCAGATTGGTTGGGGATGCCGCTAGGCACCCTCACTTGTGGGGACTCCGCGTTCCAGGTGTCCCACGTCGCCGTCGCCTCACGGCAGGAATGGAACGCTGCCAACCCTGATAGAGCTCTGAGGCTTCATGACCCTCGGCATGCACTCCCCGCAGCCGAGTGCTGCAGAGTGCCTTTGTGTATAGGGTAATGGGCCCCTGGGGTCCTGCAGGCCGGAACCTCTCTACTTGGCGATTCTCTGAGCCTGAAAACTACAGGCTTTGGATTCCTTGGACATGTCCCATGTTTGTTGCATCATTTGTTTTTTAAAGTTGGAGTGCCAAAAAATGGGCGAAGTGGCTAAGTGCCTGATGTTCTGGAAGCTTTGTTGGATCCAAGGACTTCATCTTGGAGGTGAACGGTGTCAAGGCGTGGCTTCTCCCGACATCGATGGACGGCCTGGGGCGCACACATGCCACAGCCTCCATGGAGGAGAATCCAGACCCAGGCTTCAGTGCTTTTCTTGGGTGAAGTGTGTGTGTGTGATATTGTCTATAATGGAGCATTTGGGATGCTTGTACATCCCAGTAAGCCCAAACGGCCCCAATCATGCGGGTCTTGCGATGCTAGCACCTTTGCTCCTTTGCAAGTCCTCTTATGACGACATCCTCAACGAGCTGCGGAAGTTCCAGAAACACATCATCGCCGGCACCCAAGTGGTGGGAGGATGGCAGGTGCTTTTGGCGAGGTTCAAAGGAATGTTGTATGATTTTCCCGTGCAGAAGGGCTGAGTACGGATCGGCACTGTGGCAAGTAGAAGGTCAGCGCGCCCAAAAGAAGCGATGAAACCGAGCCTTATGTTCACAGATGCAGCCAACAACACCTTTTTGTTTTCTCTTTCTCTCTCACACACGCACCCTCATTCACTCTCACCACGGTGCCCTCCACCACAGCGACGGCACCGCTAAGCAAGTGATTTTAGCTCCAAATTATGCCAGTGCGCAAAAAGGCCTGAAAACGCACATCATGATCATCATGTTCACATGTTAATGTTTTTTTTTCTCAGACATATGCGGTATACCGCGGTATACCTCCTTTCTTTGGTACCTCGCACTTGACTTTGGTTCTCAACCTCTACTATCTCTACTCATCCTCGCTGCGCTGTACACCCGCACCCGCTGGGCTGGGAGAGCTGGGAGAGTGGCGGGTGCCACGCCCAGGTGGCCAAAAGATCCAAAGAGGCCATGTGCAGCTCAGGCCTCTTCAGGGCAGAGGGCGGCAAAGGGCCTGTTCACCTGTCTTTTGGTGGAGGGGAGAGATGATGTTGAAGCGGATGGCGAAAGGGGAGAAAATGGGTCGTCGCGACACTGGCAGAGATGGACCTGCAGGGCGGTGTTCCTTGGAGGTTCCTCATAGCTGGCCCTTCTTGAATGGGTGCCGCCAGCGGGAGGATGTACGGGGATGCGTGAAGGCGGGCATTTCAGAGGTGTTTCCCTAAAAGTCAAACGGCCTGTTGGGACTGCCAGGTCGGATCTGCCATAGGTCACGGCCAGGGGTGGTGGTTGAGAAGGGGGGTCGTTTAGGTCGTGTCTGGGATATAGTGTGTAGCTTCTCCTGAAACTGAAGAGGTGCAGTAAGAGATGCATCTCCGAGTTTGACGCCTCCAACTGTAGAAGTCCGAGCACTGCTACTGACTGTTCAGATCGGCGGACGGAAGATCTCGCTGGGGCGATTTTTCGAGACGTGTCTTGAGAATTTGATCATTTGCAGACACTCCACTCCACTCTCTGGACTCGGCCAGTTGCAGAGTCGTTATTTATATCCCAGACACTCCATGGGACTGCCATAGATGCCTAATGATGCCTACATTGGGGTGGTTTGTGGGGGGTTCCTGGGGCGGCAGTCCTATGGCAGTCCCATTCGTCGTGTCTGGGTATTGTACTCATGGTGCGACAGCTTTCTCCACCCGCCAGACTCCCGGTTCGCACAAAGCTGTCTCCACTTCGCCGTGCCGGCCGCGAGGTCATGTGCTTAAGCCTGACCCGCGAGTATACAACGTGCCCCTTGGCCTAAGAGACGTGAAGAGGTGCATGTCTATATTGTTTTTTTTGAGGGAAGGCGGCCAGGGCTAGCAGATGGTGGGCAAGCCCTAGCATTTACCAGTAGCCATTTGCCACTGGTTAAAGATCCCTACTTAGTACATGCATGTTTGGGCACACGGTGCCCAAAGAATGCAACACCCCCCCTTGACATGCCTGATGCATGATCAATTCGAGACACAGAGAGAGAGAGAGAGAGAGAGAAAAAAGAAACAAGGAACGCTTGCCCAACAAATGCACCATACCACAAGTTTGGCTCCTGGTGTTTAGAGTGCACCTGGACATCAGTTCAATATATTTCTCATGTAGAGAGAAGGACCTAACCCACCATCCGGTGTACCCTATGAGGCTAGGGTTTTAAAGGACTTGATTCCTAAAGAGCCTTTGCTTGATTGTGCTTGGCTTTTTGGTTCTACCACCACCACTACTACTACTACTGCTGCTACTACTGCCACTACCACTACCACTGAGTCTACCACTGCTGCTACTACTACTACTGCTGCTACTACTACTACGACGACGACTACTACTACTACTATTAATGCCACTACTGCGGCTACTACTACTACTGCTGCTACTTCTTTTTTCTTCCACTACTACTACGACGACTACGACGACGACAACGACTACTACTGCCACTACTACGACTACGACTACGACTACGACGACTACTGGTACCACTGCCGCTGCTGCCGTGGACCTTTGAATGAGCTTGTAACACGGGGAATAGCGAATGGGAGGAATGAATGCACCACCATGACTTAGCAGTGGAAACACACTCTTATCAGTAGGACCTGTTAGGACCGCAGCTTGTCGGTTTTGGGGCCACGCGTAACCCATCCCTCCATGGCCCCTCTTGGGTCGTTCGTCGCCAAAAACCCGTCAGGTGCGACGTGTGTGGCACTCCGGGAACCCAGCCACTTGGGTGCGACCGTGGACGACGTTCGGGAAGTGAAGGACGAAGGCACTTGAGGGGATTCAGCGATGAGAAGATGTTTGACTTACCCTCCCTCCAACAAACATGGAAGTGGAACAATGGCCTCTTGGAAGGCTGTTTTCCTCTACAACCCAGTTGCTTTCCACTTTCATGATTGCTTCAGGGAGGTAATGACTTAACCATAGTTTAATCCATACATGTGTGGATCACATGTAAGGGGGAGTGTTGCTTCAGTATGGACCTGAAGAAAAGAACAGATACACCAGAACATCCCTGAGTTCACGAAACAAAAGTATGTACTCTTTAATTTAAATCTCTTCAGCACTTCGGATGTTGAATTGGTGATCCTCCTGGAAGAAAGCCTCATCCAGATCGAGCCTGCCTTGGCGACCCGCCGTGAGGTTTAGATGCCCAGACGGCTGTGTTTGGGCGACCCAGATCAGCAAAACCCGGTGGGTTTTGGGGCAGGCAGACGTCGTGGTACGGTTTCAGCATAGTGCAGCTCAGATCGGAACATTTTTGCGAAGGCACACGGATTTCACCGTAGGTCCCTAAGCATTGAACTTCCCCGAACAGGAAATCAGGCTCACAGATGCAACATGTTCCCTCACCAACGGTCCAAAAGTTTGGCCCCTTTTGTGTTGCACGCCCCTACTTCAGTAGGGCCCCCGAGCTTCCGCGGGTTCGGCAGCTTTTCCAAACGCAATTCTGTTCATTGTTAATTTCTTCCCTGGTAGCCGTTACGGCCTTTGCTGACCATCTTTGTCAAATTTGTTGTGCCGAAAATATCCAAAAATCCTTGGTCAGATCCCTTGCTGCATGCTAAAGGTTTATATAACTGTGTGGAGCTATCTACTTGCAGATCCCTGTAAGCAGCGTGTTTCTAGGGCTAGGGTCATTGGATGTTGCAATACTGCATCTAGTAACTAGTAACGGCGAATTAATAATAACATTTGATCAGACAATAAAGGAGAGTGCGGAGGCTGTGCATGCGACAGCCACAAACATGAACGACTGCCCCCACCACGTGTGACAGTGTGGCACCTTGTTTAATCAATTGCAAGAATATCGTCATGGATTGGCGTCATGTGTTGCGGGATGCGGCAGAAGGCAAGTCCAGTCAATCGAAGAAGCTCATGACTTGTTTGCTTCTCGACTTCCCTGCCAGACCACGTCAAACACCTCAGATTGGCCTCCGTACTCCTCAGGACTATGACATGTGCCTGTTCGGCGCTCAGCTTGGTTGTTCTTTGTTCAGCTCACTTGCCTGGTGAGCAGCCTCAATGACCAAACAGGGTGGGTTTTGGTCATGGCCCATAGGGTAGGCCGTTGAGACCACCTCCTAATCACAAAAAGGCATGAGAAGGAAGACTTTGGTGTGAGACACATATTATATATATATATAAATATATTATATGATATATATGTACATATGTGGTGGGATTGTCAGCGCGCAGGCGCCCTTCTCAGGCTTTCCGAATCTTTACCTATCACTGCTTCTTTGATTTAGATGCATGTTTTTGCACGTATAGTTACCGATAAAATTCCCAACCCCAGCAGTGCGCAGCTAAGCAGCTTGAGCACCAGAATGCCGGCCCATGAGTCCTTATCCGTTTCATGCTGGGAGTGCACTCCCAGTCCAACAGTCCGACACAGTCCGCTGGCCTTTGTAGCACGCACTCCAGGGAAACAGGTGGTTTTTCATGTCGTGAACAGGTTGTTCTTCCCTGTGCCTCTTTGGTTTTCCGAGGAATTGCTTTCAGGCTCACACGTCAGGACCAGTGCATTGCCCACTGGAGGACCGGGCTTTTTCCGACTGAGAACCGGCTGAGCACGGGGTGGGCCGTGGTGTCCCCGGGTTTCGCTGGGTGTTTTGGACATCACGAGCGACATCGCGTAATTTGAGAAGAGTGAACTTATGGGCGAATCATGCTGAAGTCCAGAAGAACAGTACAGTACATGAGTTACTATACCTGGATCTTCCAAAGGAGCAACATGCTGGAATTGTTTACATCAAAAGAACTGTTAAAGTTGTACTTGCATAGTTGGAAGATCCAGGGACAGACGCAGCATTTGCTGCCACCTCTGCATTCGAACACACGAACACAGTCTGCTCACCTCAACCGCAGGACATCACGGCCTTTGCACAGAAGAGAGTCCAGGCGTGTCCTTCGTGTGTCCTTCGCGCCTGGGTATCTCTTGTCTCTTCCGAGAGGGATGAGAGGGATGGAGAGGTACAACAGCCAACAGAACTACTCAAAGGTCCAAAAAGGGAGGGTGACGGGGAGGAGGGAAACCAGGGAATGATAGACCTGCGGTGAACTGCGGGAACATCCCTGTGTCTCTGAGACTGATTCCTGGCACATTTTTGGGATATATTTTGGGTGGATGGTTCCCCTACTGCACATGTCATTTCTTTGGGAATTCTACGTGTGTTGCACAGGAATATGAAGAAAAACACCTCTCTCAGGTGTTGGTCCAGCTCTCTCTCAGATCAGGGGATGGGTCAGAGCCTGGTATGTAGCGAGGCACCAATCCACCAGGCTGCCAGGCCATGCGTCGGTTTTTTGGTGCGGATGACCATCCGTGACCATCGACCCACAGGCATTTGAGTTCTTTTCTTGAGCTTCCAAGAGAGGTTAAGTGACCTTATAGGACCCTACTGGAGTACCTATGGGATAGTCGAACTAGGGTCCTTCAACCTCTGTTGCTTGGGAGGGGTTGGCAGAACTCGTGGGAACTCGCTGAGCAAGCTTTGCGCAAGACTCGCAGAACTCGCGTCTCTCAGCATCTCGGTCGTGTGAGTCGTGTAGGTGGTGTGCCGTGGAGAAGGCAACCAAGATGATCCCGAGGCGTTGTCCTGGAGATCTTGGGATCTTGGAGCGTGAAGATTGTGGAATCTTCAACCAATTTGAAACATGTGTATATTTAGTTATGTAAAATGTTAATCTCTGTTGGTGATATATGGTGCATTCTCGCCGAACGAATGAACGTCGAGTGATCATGTTCCGGTCACAAAGACACTGAGCCACAGATGGTCTTTTGCATCCTATTAACTATTGCTTGATCAATAGAGGGGGCAACTCTCATCTACACCGAGCCATTTTCGGACCCCTCGAAAG